GTTCAACCAGTTATGATATTCTTTTTTTACACTGTTTACTTTTAAACTAGAATGGAATCGACAGCGAGAGGAAGAAGAGCTTTAGTGTAAGAAATGCAAATCATATGTGGCTACATTCCTGACAATTTCTAGGAGACAATTATGATCAGTATTATCAAATAGCTTCTGCTTTAGTATAGAGTAAAAATATATTTTTATAAACTAGTCATGCCCAAACTTTTAGACTTGCAAGCTAAATTGCACATAAGGCAATTGAATATGGTTTATGTGCAATTTAATAATATGGACAAATATTTTATATATTCTACATATAAAAAAGTAGGCCTATTTCTATCATTTATAAGTGATTTGTCAAATATGTTCATGGGCTGGATTTGACTTGGCAGCAGTTGTTTAGGAAACAATAGTATAAACCATTATTATTCATCTATGATCAGTCAAGACTAACGGCACAAAACCTTTCTCACTAATTTCTAGCCTTATTAACTGGAGTACAAACGTTTTCGGCCTTCTTAATAGGCCGAAAACGTTCTTAGGCCTTCTTAATAGGCCTTCTAACGAAATAGGCCTTCTTAATAGTGAGAAAGGTTTTGTGCCGTTAGTCTTGGAAATAGTTCTAGCTACATATGCATAGTAGTGTTATGATCAGTCAGTCTTTCAGACTGACTTTATATGAATATTAATTCTTTCTAGCTGTTAAATTTTATATACCATATTTCCCCAAAAATAAGCCCTACCCCAAAATAAGCTCCAGTTAAGATTGTCAGCCAGATAGTCATATTTAATACATCCATTGCAACCCATTACAGACATATTAAATTATAAAATAATATTAACATATAATTGAATATAAATAATTATTAGTATTATTGACATTAATACTTAAAATAAATGATAACATAAATTATAATCTAGAGATGCTCGCTTGGGCATCTACAAATACTTATTTGTAAATGCCCAAGCGAGCACCTCTGAACGAGACATCCCATGAAAGTAAGACCTAATGTATCTTTTGGAGCAAAAATTAATATAATACCTTGTCTTATTTTCAGGGAAACGTCGTATTAATAATGAGGATATCAAAACAATTCATGGTATTAAAATAATGAACAATCCATTCCTAAATACTTCAATTTTAGGTAATTTTAGGTAAGACCTAAAATACAACAGTAATGCTTTCAGATCTCAAGAATCTATCTATATTTATTTTTATAAAAAGTTCTCCTACTATACACACACACACACACTAATAGAGCCTTTATATTTATTGCAGTTTTGGCTATGCCGACAATAGATAGCCTAATAACAAAGAATAAGTTATTACATTTTTAAGTCAGGCATGGATTTGATCTGAATCAGATTCCAGTATACTCCAGAGTGACAGATAGATACATATTGTTCTTATCTTGGTTATATGGCCATTTCAGTTGTTTTTTTAGCTGGCCCTCTATTCAAGATAGTTTTCTATTCAAGACAGGTACAATCTCCCAAAATTGATTTTGAGAGATCACAATTAGAAAATGCACATTCAACTTTGACAAAACTAAATAGAATTGTTTTAATTCATTTGTTTAAGTACCAGGAACTGAAGTAATTAGTTTAACTCATCTGATTACAGTCCTGTCAAAGCCAAAAATAAATCTTTTTGCTTTCAGGTCTCAACAAGACACTGTTGCATAAAACACTTATAGTTGTTACAAGCAAAATGTGTTGAATAAAGTTTTGTAACAAGTTACAAACTACTAGTCATAAGCATTTTTGATTGTGTAAAATAAGTTGTAATCAGTAAAAAGCTACAAATACTCTAAAATCTATGTAAGCTGGGCTCACATGCTACCAAATATTTTTTCTGGTTTGGCAGGTTTTACCATATTATAAATCTTGCAACTTTTAACAAAATTTTTATACAACAAGACCCAGGATTCAAGACTTAGCCTACATGCCACTCGTTACGAGATATAGCCCACGGACCGGACCTTCGTTAAAGACGCGATAGATTTAGCAGGTCTCCAATCATGCTACGGAAGTACTCACCACGATGAAATATTTTCATATTTTTAGCCACCTCTAACAAAGTGGAAAATGGTAGATTTTTCATAGTTTTGAGAAATACTTCCAGATTTTCTTCCCCGTTTTTGAGGGTCTCCAATATTCCAGACACGCAGATTTCGGGGGACAATATCTTGCAAAGAGTCACATGCAGATCAATAGTTCCTTCTGACTTTTTTATGGAAGTAATTATAGGAACGAGGAGGTTGAGACCTTATTGGAATAATATACTCCAATAAGGTCCCAACCTTTTCATTCAGAGCTGCAATTGGACCTTTAAGAGGACCTATTAAAGCATTTTGGAATGGACCATGTGGATGGAGTATTCCCTTTTATCTAATTCATCCATTGATGTATATTATCATCTAGCATAATTCATAACTTTATAGTAACAGCATCTACAATATGACTTATAAAGTACAAATTCTTATATAATTAACGTTCGATACCAATGACATTGCCTTACACAATTGGAAGAATGTTATGAAAATCACATGTAAATATGAAATTAACGATTTCGTCTAAGCATTTAACCGTAATAAACTTATAAACCGGTTAATATTACTCACATCTTATTATATAAAACAGATAAACTTGCTACAGGTGGTTTCCAAATCTCATATTTCCATAAGTAAAGTTACTACTAAGATATTTCTATATTTAAAACATGCTCGTACATATTCCTACTTGACTTCGGGGAGAGAAAACAGCGCCCCACAGTGACTAAATTCTTGTTTCTATTTTAATTTTTTTTAATTTCCCATTAATTAAATATTAAAAGTATAATTGTTTCTTAATTAATTTATTTATATTTATTCCATTAATTTAATTTAAAAAATTTTTAAATTTATTTATTCTAATTTTGAATTATAATAAATTTTTAAATAAATTTAAAAAAAATAATCACGCACGTGGTTCGATCCCGCTCGATTTTTAATGGCTGTACCGAAAAACCGCGGGACGTAATTGGTTTTTTTTAGGTTAAATTCTAAAATATACATAATTTATTATTATAAAATAAACAAAAGTTAAACTAGAAAATGATTTAATAGATTAACGAGGCAATTTTTTGGTGAGTCATCCCTTCGATCGGACTGCTTCATGGATGGTCGCGGTTAATAAACGTTTATAAGTTTCATTTATTAAGGATCGAAAAACTCATTTGCTTAAAGTTCAATCGGTAAATGCGACGAATCGGTCCAACAAACGACACTTACCTTCGTAAATACGTGCGATTCACGTGAAGGAGCGATATTCGGAATGAGCGAATGCATGGACGTCACGGAAGAAGGTCGACAACCAACATGGAAGCTGTTTTTATTGACAGGATGTCGTCCATTAAACTAATTAAGTCGGTCGAGGTTCAGACTAGTAGGCGACTTACTTCAGTCACCACGCGTTTTTGGACCTTTCCAGTTGTTTTATCTAAAAATTAACCAAGAAACTTTCGAATATTTAATGTGCCGGTTAACAAAAATGGCGGCTTACTAACAATGTTTTCCAGTTTAATCTGTTAGAAAATAGTTTAAAATTTAAAAAAGAAAAATGTTTACTTGTTCAATTAATTAATAGTAAAAGTAATTAAAGTATAAAAATAAATGCCAGCTCGAAAAGGAAGGAATAAACATAATCGTGAAAGGTCTTCTTCGCGAGGCTTTCGTGTTCTTTCGTGATTATGGGCACAACGGAGATTCTTTCGTGGACATTTCTTAATAATAAATCCATGCCATAAATATATAAATGTCTTTAAGGGAGGAATCGAATCCACAGCGTAAAATGCAATGAGTAATAACAACTTGATTCTTCATTAAGTGAAACCTGCCATTTGTAATATCTTTATCAGGAAAGATTCATAAATAGCGGAATTAATTTGTATATTAATTAGTTAATTAATTTTAACAGAAAATTTTATATAAAAATTCATGTTCTATTCTTTTTTTATATATAATAAAAAGAACTGTATTTGAAGAGCAAGACTAATCGGAGTTATAGATAACATGAAGTTCAATATACATGTATTATATGATATATTATGTATTATATGATTACATGTATTATAGATAACATGAAGTTCAATATACATGTATTAATATAATTCCATATTATTCGGTAGAGTTCAGTGGTAATTACCTAATAGGAGTAATAAGGAATCCATCCTCCTCTCGAGGGGCCTCAAAAATTACGTAGAAAAAACATAATATGCCTCTAAAAAACTGTTGTTATTTAAGGATTATATTGTCTTTTTAATATAAAAAAAACACTTTACATAAAGAGCCTTGTAAAAAACAACTACACTTATGGCTTCAAAGGGACATAATCCGCTACTGGCAGAGCTTACCAGAATAATCTGTAATGAAAACTTACGTGATTTCCGGTCTATTATAATTAATCGGGGCCTCCTCCCCCCAATGTTTCCATATTCGTTTTCGATTTTCATCTATCTAACACAGTTCTCTAGATTAAGGAAAGACAGACAAACAGTGGGAATTTATAGGTCTACAATTTTTTCAAATTGCAGCCTAATTATAATGCAAACCTTTTTTAAGAGGCAATTTTTAGACCCGAAAATAACTTTTTTGTGTGTTTTATGTACTGTTTTTACTGTAAATAAGTTTTGTTATATTCAAAATACAGTAGACCCCCCTATAACACTGTAGATAATTCCGTGTTATATGAATTCCATGTTGTACGAGTCACTTAGATTTTACAAACACGCGAGCCTTCACAGCTCGGCACACGTATTTGTAAAATCTAAGTGACTCGTACGACATGGAATTCATATAACACAGAATTATCTACAGTGTTATAGGGGGTCTACTGTATTCAAAATTCCCCGTTTGTTCTTGAAAATAAAGCATAAAACATTCATTATTCGTAGAATATCGGTAGTGTTACGCGTACCGAATATCAGTGTGTATCAACAGAACACAATCATTGTTAGTTATACTTTATTAACAAAAGGAAAAATACATAAGAACTGACAGTAGGACGTTCGATAGACACGTTTTTGACAAATTTACTTTGGTTCATTTTCAATTATTCGAATTAAAGACTTAAAGTTCGGATATTACTCTCACAATATATATTTATATATGTGTGTGTGTGTGTATGTATCTGTGTGTATGTGTGTGTGTATATATATATATATATTTATATATATACAATTGTATGACTTAACGCGGGTCACGAGCTTAGTTTGAAAGGAAGAAAACGGGGGAATATCACTATTTTTAGCAAAAGTATGCATTCGAAGCTACGATCCAAACATATGCACAGTTATATATAATATGTATATTTTTACAAGTATTAATACCTGAAAATCACAGACTTTGGAGATAGCTTCTCAAGCGCTTGCGACTTCTTGGGGGTCATGGCCCCTTTGGACAACTTAGCAAATGTTATAAAAAAACAGTTTTAAGCGTTCGTTATTTTTTCTTTTTTTTTTTCTTTCGTCCCTCCCGACTGGTCCATGCCGCCAGAATAATTAGGAGAAAGGCAACATAATTTAGCCACCAACACAAGCAGTGTTGTATGCATCGGAGTGCATTCAAAATGGCGCCTTTAAATAATGCATGCAGAAATTGCTTTTGACCCCGGTGAAAACAAATCTAGTAGTTCACACATGCCTTATAGATTTTTAATGTTTATTTTTTTTGTGTGTAGATTTTATTTTTTAGTTTTTAGTTAAATTTTAGATAAATTTCTTTTCCGTTATTTTCGGATAAAAGAGGGGCTAACAGTTACAGCGATAGCTGCCTGCTGCTACTTGTTGTGTTTGATGAAGCACCGTCTTTTCCCATTCCTGACGTTCGATCTCGTCGAATCTGCTAGCCTGAAGGAATTTCCATTAATTGTTAGTGGTTACAACTGCTCGGTATGAAGAAAAAATAAGTCTTGTATACTTACTCTTCTTTCTCTTTGTTCTCTTATTTTACGAGCTAGAGCTATGAAGGCCTCGTTAATATTGATATTTTGCTTACAACTGCATTCGAAGAAAGGAATTTCGAAGCTGTCTGCAATCTGCAAAATAACTTACAGTATTTATTTATTAATTTAGAAAATGGTAAATGTATCATTGATTTAAACCTTAATTCAATCAATTCAATACTTTAGGTATTAATGGAGTCGGAAGAGGAAATACAATGGAGAGACACCGTGCGATTTCTTAACCAGTGGGGCGTCATAGCTTCGTGGGGCCCGGGCGGATTTGAATTAGGAGACCCCACGTACAGTCGTTGATTTCGGGGTGGGAATACTTTCTTATAAAAGATCGGTTTGGGGCACCCCGTCGGTGAGTACCCCAGGCAATTGCCCTTTTTGACCACAGTGCATAAAGTAATATATTACTATCCCGGCTGTTATGTATAACAGAATGTGTGGCCATCTGTCAAAAAATGACCACGGGGGCCTCGAAACGTTGAGAAAAGCAAAAAATTCGGGGGTTTTTCTGTACAGTACGTATGGACGTTAGTGTGGGGAGACACGATTTAGTTCACCCTTTTCGAAGCTTAATAACTCCCGTGCTTTTTGTCGAAAATTTCTGAAATTTTACAGGGAGATTTGTGTATTAGGGGGATCGATGCTATTAAATTTTGGTGGTTAAAGATCAACGGGGTGAGGAGATAACGGAGGTCGCGTGTATCTCCGATAGGGTCGGACTTAATGACGATTTTACTGGTTATTGACATTTATAAAAACCCATCCCTACCCTCAAAATTAAGCTTTTTGGAATTTTAAAATAGTAAAAAATATTAAAAAGTTTTAAAAATAAAACTTTTTATTTATACAAAATCAGAAATTATTATCAATAAATTACGTAAAAGATTATTAATTAAAGCACATACATACAACATATATACACAATTTATATATCATTTTGTTTTGATTTATCTACAAAATCAGTCATTTTCTTTTTTGGAAGCACGATCAATGGAAGTGGCGATCAAACTTACTGGTAGCTGCTTCTTGCGCGCGCGTGTAGAAGCGTAAGATCGAGGGGGGTGAGATAAAAGGGGTCGTGTGCTTTATCTCGAGTAGGGTCGGAATTAATGACGACTTTACTTGTTATTCACATTTACAATTATTTATAAAACCCATCCCTACCCTCAAAATTAAGCTTTTGGGCATTTATAATAGTTAAAATTTTAAAAAGTTTTAAAAATAAAATATTATGACAGATGGTGCCATCAAACGTTGCCGGGAAAGTTAAGCAACTCGTTGCTGGAATTTTTTTACGAATTTTGAAATTTTTTTTAAAGTGAAAACTATAACAGATGGCGCCACCAAAATTTTAAACGTTGCCTGGAAAGTTGAGCAACTCGTTGCTGGTTGTGGTCATTAAAGTCGTCTATCGGAATAGGCCCGAAACAACAGTCGAATTAAAAAAGGAAATCGTCTCCGAACGTAACGAAAGTAGTTGTGTTACGTTAAGAAACGTTCAATGGTATGGTATTCAGCGTATACGCGAGTGTGGCTAAACATTTCCACTGAAGGAACCGGACTTTTGGTACATCCTTTACACGTATCGATAATTTGCACCGTTTTATAGTAGATTTTATAAGTCTTAAGACTTTCCCACGCGTGGGGTGATAGATAATACACTACTAAACACACTACTATCGATATAAACACGGGAAAACAATAGAGAAATAACCTTTTTTCCTTGTTCGTAATCGACGACCCTAAGATGTTCGGCATCGCATTTGTTTCCAGCCAAAACACGAACCACGTCCGGAGCTGCATTCTATAATACAAATTTGTATAAGTATTAAGAAAAGACAAAAGAACAATTAAAATTCGGTGTTAAAATTTACCTCTTTAACGTTACGAAACCAGTAAGATAGGTGATTAAATGAATCCATGTTAGTGACGTCGTACATGAGGAGTATACCCTATTCGAAAATATTAAACTGTGTGTAACGTTATCTTAAGTACCGTATACACGTAAAGCTGTACATTAACATTACCATAGCACCACGATAATAAGCCGTCGTCAGAGTTCGAAATCTTTCCTGCCCGGCCGTGTCCCTAGAAAATAACAATAATAATGTGCAAAAATGAGAAGACTGCGTACAAGTCGACCCCTCTATAACACTGTTGATTTTTCCGTTTTATATGAATTCCATGTTGTACGAGTCACTTAAATTTTATGTTCACAGCCCGGCACACGTATTTGTAAAATCTAAGTGACTCGCACAACATGGAATTCATATAAAACGGAAAAATCAACAGTGTTATGGGGGGGTCGACTGTAAATTGCTTACAAAAGTAAAGATTTTGTTATAGATTTTTGCTAAATATTGCCGAAACGAAAGTATTTAACGAAATTAAAATTATAATACACCTTAAAATAAGAACCCCCAAAGTAACCGAGTTGGTAAAAGCACCCAAAAATAATGGTGTCGTGGGTTCGCACCCGGCCAACGTCCTCCCACGTGGAGTTTTTCGGGTTTTCTTTACGTTAGCAACACCTAAATGGGGGGGGGGCAGTTTCCCATAGAAAGTCCTCCAGGGTGGCATCCCACTTCGATGGGTCGTTCACGTGTTGCGGTGGCAGTAAACAAGTAAACCAAACCGGTCGGTATTTAAATAAATTATATAGATTTCAGGAAGGAAATTTTGATATATAAGCTAAAGAAACACTTGGTTATTTCACGTAAGAACGATGTATGGAGGGAGTAAGAACACAATCTAAAAAGATGTAGAAGAGATTGATGTAAAATTGCCGGATTAACGAATGGAAAGACGTTAAGGTATCGGGAATAATCCCGGTTATAAATTGTTAGGTAAACAGTCGTAGACTAAGACGATTGAACCATGTAAACAGAGTGGGTGAGAAGAGAATTCCAGGATAATAATTTTATTTAGAAGATTTCGAATTGAAATCACGCGACTTCCGGTACAAACCGGAAGTTCGTATGCAGTTAACCGGAACTTCCTTTCCCTAATCTTTCCGCATCCGGTCTCGACTCTCGTTTGTCTCAAACCCTTCTCGAGATTAAGGACGGACAGACGGACGTCGTTCGAGTTTAAAAAAAAAAAGAAATTCGAATGGGTGGATTAATTAAACTCCTAAATAAATTTCGCTAATTTTCGCGGTTGACGGGAAATCACGTGACGTCCCACAACCGTTATCGATCCAACGGAAGGCGGATACCAGACTAAAATAACGTACAGAACTACAGAACGTACGTAATAATTAATATAGAAATATCTGATTAAATTTCCCTGTTTGTGTGTAAATAAGCCAACCGAGGGCGATCGATTCCGGTGTTTAAAATTGACGTTTATTAAATAAAGAACGATCCCTCGCCTCTCCCCCCCTCCCCGGATGGACTTTGACGTGCCAATTTCGGTTTATTAAGCAATTTTATATTTATTAAATAAGTGTAAAATGGTACTTTCGTTCGTATATTTTATTAAAATTAACTATTCGAATTTTAGTATCGAGTTAGGGCCTTAATTCTCGTCTCCTGCTTTCCTGGCCAACGTCATTGGGAGGGTGGGCCTATTCTCAACGGATACGAGTTCCAAACGCGAAATTTAATTTGGGTCCCCGAGGAAAACTCCGGATCGGGGCCCTCCCAAAACGGTGACGCTTTATAGCTAAGCGGGGCCCGGGCGAATCTGAATTGGGGGCCCTACGTACAGTGTCGATTTTTCTTCCGAGAAATTTTTTTTGGGGGAATATTTTCTTATAAAAGATCGGTTTGGGGCATCCCGTTAGTGGGACCCGTAGGATAACGTCCCGAAAGGGCCGAGTTATTTGTTATATTTATCAATGACTCTGGTTTGTTTGTATACGGCAACCGGACACGTGGTCGAACTTTCACCACGGGGGAGGACTTTCTAAGGGAAACTGGTCCTCTATTTAGGCGTTACTAATGTAAAGAAAGGCCGGGAAACTCTACGTGGTCGACCAGTGTTGACGTGTTCGCATTGTTTACTACACATTCTAAAATTTTATTTATTTACGCCCGTATTTACGAATCGATTTACGAGTCGCTAGACCACGATTTGACGTAAGTTTTGTACTTATTCGTTAAAAAAAAAGGAGTAATGCCAGTAATAGCTCCGTGGGGCCCTGGCGAATTTAAATTAGGAACCCCCACATAAAGTGTTGATTTCAGACATTTTTTGGGGGTTAATGTTTTCTTATAAAAGATTGACTTGGGCCCCCTATATAATTTAAACACGATCGATCGATCGATCGATCGTGTTTAAATTATATTCGTTGTTTGATCCAAGAATTGTATAGTAAGTGATTTTTCCAGTTTTCACGTCTTGTAGTCACTCGAAATTTGTTTTGTTGACCCACATTCAAACAATCGATCTGCTTATAAATTTTTCAAGATATTATAATATTTTTAATAATGGAATTAATTAACGAGAAAATCACTCGAACGAACGATGACACGAACGTCAATAAAGGTTAAATTAATGGGTAAATCGTTAAATTTGTAAATAATGCATGTAAAGTGGTGTTCGAATCAATTATTTTCTGTCCGAAACTCGAAATAAATCCACAAAAATTGCCCATCGATCGTATTAAAACGTTCAATTTCTGATAGGAAATTCCTCAATGGTCTCTCTATTTTCTAATTATGTATATTTAATTTAATTTACTTACCAAATTTGCAATTTAACGGGCATTCCATCCAAGTTGATTATTTTCTGTTTAAAATCGATTCCTGTAAAAATTCAAAAAATTAATTTATTAAGGGGAGAAAAAAATCCTTAATTATCCTTACTTTTTAAAGAAAAAACATAAAAGAAAAGTCATATTTTTACATCGTATTTAACTAAATTAATTTGTTTTTTTGTTGTTCTTTTCGGACACGTAATTGAATAAATTAATGGAAACAAATTTCGAACTTTCTACTTTAAAATTAATTCACAAAAAATAATAATAATAATAATAAAATATATAAATTCTTCCATTTGATGGCATTTCTTTAGGGTTCGAAATTTGTTTTTGGATTCGTTCTCTGGAGGATTTTAATTAATTTTACCGAGAACAAAAGTTAAGAGATTAAATCTAGTTCGATGCACTGCAACTGCAGAATATTAATATAAAACCCGGTTCAAAGTTCATCATCCTGAATAATGGAATAATTGACTTATCATTCGTGTGAATGAACGATTTGGTCCCTTTCTTTTAGGTAATAAAATGGGACAAAAACAATGAGAGAATTCTAAGCATCTTCATAATTTCCCATTGATTCCAAAGAGTTCTTTGTACTTGAGAAATTCCTGATTTAATTATTACCCGGGTCCTATCTTTAAAATAAATAACCTCACTTATTCTTACGTATACGGCTTGAATATTAAGTATACTTTCGATAAAACTTTGATACACTAATCCATTAGACGGATACGTTTTCATTAGAAGAGAAGAACAATTTATCATTTTAATATAATTATCGTGGTAAATTAGCTTTATTTTTTTTTTTAAAATTAGAGTTAATTTAAATTATTTTAAGCGTTAAGAAGCGATATTCGAAGCGAAACACGAGTGCCATGACGTTTTACTGACAAGCAATTACGAAGTTCGTCTTCACCTCGATGCATAATGTCGTGCGGAGAAGTACCCTTTACAGGCAATTGGTCGAAAAATTACCACAAATCTAAATAATAATCTCTGTTACAATTAAAGGTATAAGCAATTTTTAATAATTAAGAGTCTTTTACGTAATTAACTACGAAAATATAATTCTTTCGAGGGAGGATTTAGGAAGAAAATGCTCGACGAAACCTTCGGTTTAAAGGGTTTTTTTTTATATAGCAGCTTTTTATAATGATACATATAGGAAGATCTTCATTTAGGATTTCTATACATCAGATAATGGTGTTAGACGTCCTTTTATAGATATTATAGACCGTATATAAAGGCGTGTAAACTCACCGATGGTGGAAATGTAAGTGTCGTAAAATCTTTCGTCACAGAACCGATGTACAATACACGTTTTACCTACGTTGCTATCACCTAAAACTAGAATCTTGTAGGTTGCAGCAAAATCCACCGCCATCTTGATCTGTCTATCTCTGATCAATCTGTGAGCCAACGCACGCAGCGCCTCCGATCTCCACTTCTCCGCCTATGACGTCACGGCACACGTAACAATTCCTGTTTTGAAAACTAACAGAAAACAATTGATTTAATACCAGACAATAGAGGGGGGAAGGAAATAAAGAAAAATGCGACGTTAAATGTCTGCACGTGGAAAAATCGATTCCTTTTTCCCTAATCGGAAATTCCCCGAAAAATCTGACGTCACCGGACTTTAAGAAGAATGATCAATCTATCTTATTATTAAAAATCGATAACACAAATTTCGTTTAAGCCGAGTTTTATTTTAAAAAAACGAAATTTTATAACACGTAAAACAAAGAAAATCGTGCGAAATTTAATTGAAAAGTAAAGGAGAAAGTGAAATTTATAGGAGGCCATTTTGGTTTACGTCCACTGGTGACGTAAAGATGCAAATGTTTGGGCAATTCTGTATCCATTATTTATAATAATGAGCAATCCTTTCTCCGATTCTTGCAGTTCTCCAGCCATTTTCCTTCCCGGTAATTGAAAAAAACAACAATAAATCTCAAAATTGAATCCCTTTAAAGCATTGATATAACTTGAAAAATTTCCATTTATTTCGGCCCAAAATTTCAACATAATACTTATCAAATTATAATTCACTTTTTCTTTACGTCGATTTGACGTCATCTCTTCGGTTTTACAATAAGAAATTCTAAATAAATACGTCAAATTTATGTAAAAGGAAATTTTCCGGTCTAGACCGGAAGTCACGTGACTTTTAAAAGATGGTTGAAAACTACAGCCGGACAAGGTGATAATGTCACGATAATATACGTTGGATTTCTTTAATAATTTACTTTCCTACGATTTATCTTTAGATATTACAGAATTATGAAATTTTGTATAGTCGATCCCCCTATAACGCTGTTGATTATTCCGTTTTATATGAATTCCATGTTGTACGAGTCACTTAGATTTTACGAATACGTGAGCCGTTCACAGCCCGGCACGCGTATTTGTAAAAGCTAAGTGACTCGTATAACATGGAATTCATATAATACGGAAAAATCAACAGTGCTATAGGGGGGGTCGATTGTATATGAAAAAACAATGAAAAAAAGTTAAATTAATTCGTTTCGTAATGCAGGAAAATAATTAAAAGTTAATTCGCACGAAGTTAAATGCGAATAAACCAGCAACGAGTTGCTCAACTTTCCAGGCGAAGTTTAAAATTTCGGTGGCGCCATCTGTTATCATATTTTATTTTTAAAACTTTTTTTCGTATTTTTAACTATTATAAAATGCCAACTATTATAATTTAATTTCGAGGGTTGGGATGGGTTTTATAGAAAGTTATAAATGCTAATAACCGGTAAAATCGTCACAATCCTATCCTACTGGAGATACGATACAATATCCCAACCCTCTCGACCTTTAACCACCAAAATTTAACAGCGTCGATCCGCCTAATACACAAACCTCCCTGCAAAATTTCAGAAATTTTCGACAAAAAACACGGGAGTTATTAAGCTTCAAAGAGGATGAACAAAATCGTGACCCCCCCCACACACACGAACATCCATACACACAGAAAAACCCCGAATTTTTTGCATTCCTCGACGTTTTAAGGTCCCGTGTCCAAAAGTGTAAAAATCTTGGGAGTGATTTTTCGACCGAGGGCCATACTTTCTCTCTGTTATATATAATAGTGCCGGGAAAGTAATAATTAAAACCCGGTCCACCTATTGTGCCTGATAATATATACACAACGATCCATTTCGGGTGTAACCGATAAAACTTGCAGTGTCGTAAGTTTCCAAACATTCCCAGTCATCCACTACGGTGTTGTGGCGCCATTTACCTCCCTAGCGAGTATTTTTGTAACTAACTTTTTTGTTTTAATGAAATTCCATTACTACATACTAAACGTGACGTTATTTCGCCGATTACTTCTACTTTATCGAAAGGTAAACTTTAATTACGAACTCCCTGTACTTACTTCTTTGTCTGTCTTCCGTTTTCGACCACCGAATCTGGAACCACTATAAAATTGGAACCTGAGGTGCAGAATTATCAAATACCAATTACATTTGAATGCTCCGAAAATGCAAAAATATTAAGAGAAGCAGTCTACTTTTGCTTGAATATTCGGCATGGCATCCAAATTTAAAGCAACAGGAGTTAGTCGAGTGCCCACCAGTGGTCGAGTGGATAAAACCACCGAAAGAGAATCTATCGTGGGTTGTTCGCGCCCCACCAACGACTTGGTCACGTGGAATTTTCCGAGTTTTCTTCGTTCTTCATTAAACATCTAAAGGGAATGCCTCCCGACGGGAATTTCTGTAAAGAAAGTCCCATTGGAAAGCTTCTATTTGATTTAATGGGGTGATCAACGCAACACGTGGGCGATAAACCACGTGTTGCGTTGATCACCCCTTTAAATCAAATAGAATTAGTTGGTAACGAGTGAATAATACATTCATAATTTGAAAGACAAACCATGTGGTTTGTCTTTCATTCTGTTAGTAAAAACACCATGGTTCAGACGAACCACGGCCTTTTTTGCAAATTCCCTCCATCCGTGGGCACCAAGAGCGCCTTTAGCAAGCCCGTAATGGGGTGGGCCGAGTGATAAGGGACGTATCTGGACGACCCACTCAAAAATATTCTCGGGGGTTTGTGACTAGGGTCCTCCGGAGCGGTGGGCCGCCCTTTTTTAAAAACTTTTCCAGCACTAAAAGGGCTTCTTTTAGACAGTCAATCAGACCCACAATGGGTGGGGGGCGAGGGACGGACCTTCCGCTTCTTTTCGCCTCTTAGATTTACTCACCGCCTACAGTAACGGTAGTACACACTTTGAGAACTACTGGTCTAATGTGTATCAGAACCCTCGGAAACAAAATGACAATTTATATTTTGTATAATTTATTTTTTTAAATTCGGCATTTTCTAATTGTTAAATTAATGCTTAATTTCATGTCTTTATATTGTACAATACGTCTAAAATAAGATGTTATAACATTATGGGCGATTATTATTAACATTAAATACTGTATGCACATAAGCATATATTTCGTGTACGACAAAATTATTCATTATAAACGAGCATTGATCACTTTTGAATTTCGTAGTTTCAGGAATGTATTGGGATTTTCGCAGTTTCCTATTCTATTTTTCGAAAAATCGAGTCTTAAAAGAACGTTACGTCGAAGAGCCCAGTTATATCGGCGTTGTTTAGTTTATTGTAACTTTATCGATTAGAACATTACAGAGTAACGAACCGAACGGGAACGTTCTTCCATCCTAACTAAAGCGAAATCAATTGTAACAATCCACGTCGCGTGATTCCGCGTAATAATCACTCGTAAACTGATCCCAGTATGTGACATTTAGAATCTTCGAGCTATAAAATTCGTAGAAAGGTCAATGTTAGGATAGTCCATAAATGTAAAAGAGGGGAAAAATTCCCTTAATCTAAAACTCTTTCATCCCCGTGGACACTAAGAGGGCTTTTTTTTAGCAATACAATGTGTTCGGCAGAGTGGCAAGGAGCGGAACTGACGTATCCGAACGGGTCACCCCTGAAAATTTCTTGGGAATCGATTCAGGGTCACCCAGAGCGGTAGACTGCCACTTTAACCGTTTGGCCACCCGGCCGCCTAATTTAAAACTATAAAGTCCATCAAGGATTCGGTCAGGTCGGATTGTAAAGAATCTATAATGGTCTTGCTAAAAAGGCCCCCTTAGTGCCCACACGGCAGAGTTATTATATATATTGGACTTCTCATATCTGAATATTCTGTCAAAAACAATTGTAGTGTTTTCAATTGTTACTATTTTCATCCTTTACCAAATACCAAGTTTACAATTATTTCTCTCGACAATTTTTGTCCCTATTTTCCTTCTTGATTCGTTTTTTGGAAATATGAACAATCTGTAATCTTTCGTCAGAATTATTTTTGCAATTAGGAGCCGAAACACCTCCCACTTCATACAAAAAAAGACATCGCCGATTTTAATGTGTTGACCAAAAAATGGCGCCGCAGTGAACGTACTCTCCATTCAGCACCGACCAGCTACACCATGACGTCCCTACAGCATAATTTGATTGTATGATAGGAATGTTTAACGATACTTAACTATTTCCCCCCTTTTTAATACAGGATCGCGTGACAAACACCGGATCCCAACACTCCTTTTATATCTGATTATCGAAATTTCGATAAAAACTTGAATGAAGAACAAACAAACAGTCACGTTCGCACAGTTTATATCACACAATGAGAATACCTAATGGACATCAGAGCCTGCTCAATGATAACGTTCTGGACTAGTTCCATGGTTCACCGCCGGGGCGCTGATAGGAAATCACAGTGTATCCGTTCTATGTACAGTACTACCCTGCGACACCTGGGCGAGCTGCCAAAAGGGGGCGATTCCATGATGACTTTCTGCGAGGAGTTGGCCCCTGTTTAGGTGTTACATAAGTGAAAGCCTGAAAAATTCCACATGGCCAGCCCATTGGTCAAATGCCAACATGCATGCCATTGACTGCTGGTGTTTGGTGGCATTATTCACTCGGCCACTGGGCACAAAGAATTTGGAATTAAACAAATCACAGCGGCCGGGTGCCACAACCCAAACATCATTCCGTTGCAATGTTGCCAACTTTAAACAGATCTGAAATTTCTCCCAAAACTAACAGAGTTATCCCTAAAAACTGAAACAAATCCCCCTAAATAGGTACGATGCGTATCAAAAAATATTGAAAATTCAGATAAACACAAATTTTCACTTTAAGGTGCAGGCAGTGCAGCACGGTTGAGGAAAAGTGTAGTGTGATGATATCCTTAAGTATGAGTCCATTAACCATAGGACTGATACGTGTTAAAAACTGACTTCGGAGGCATTATCTCGCAAAGGTACAGGTATATTTCCTTGTAACTTTTTTTGCTCATGTAGGGAATCTACAATCCTGGGGGTGCAAAACCCCCATTAGGAACTTGAATATTACTGGAGCAGTTCGCTGCACTGTGATTGCAAGATCTGTAGCCCAATGTCATTTTCCATTGACACGGTACACTGTGACATTGGGGAGTACAGTAGAGCCTCGATTATCCGACTCAATTGGGGACGTCGGATAACCGAAAAGTATGAAAAAATCCATTATTAGTGTAGTATATTATTATATCCCATGTAATTAGTATATCGCTATTAATCTACTTCGCGTTGAATTTTCATCGATGTTAAGCCTAACAAAAATTTTTTAAAATAATAATCGTCGCTATTGTATCGTTAAAAATTAGAAAGTTAAGGCTCGTTTAAATACTGGCTCCCTTTCATGGTCGAATGAGTGTTGCCAGCTAAAACACGTAAAAATAATATTAAAGTAGCCAAGACATAGCCAAATATTGTAGCACCACATCACTAGCAGACATTTGAAATTTGTCGACTAGGATGGTCGGTTAATCGGGGGTCGGATAATCGAGGCTCTACAGTAATTGTGTGCACTTTTCTCAACTGCCGGATAGGTTGGTATGGTCCCACCCATTGGTGCCCACACTCCATTTCAACACAATCCCTCTAGGTTTCTGCAAGGTTGCATTAATTAAGGACAAAGTATACACTACAAGCTTACAAGATGTGGACACATTGAAGCAATGTAGACTTTGCAAGTGTGATGCCGGACTGCCAACAAACAGATGATGGGAAATTATCACCCGTATGAACGAAAGGTTTACATGTGGAGGTGAAGGTTTTAAAAATAAATTTCTAAAACTTGACATAGACTTTACGAACACCCTGTATGTATGATTATTTATGATCATGTTTATCAGAAAGAATTTTGCCCTTGGATCCATGTGATGCTATACATGCCATCCGAGTGTGGGCACGCATGTTCGTGTGTGTATATTTAATTCTAAACATTAATTTAAAAACATTTAGACTTACAAGATTGACCAATTTGTTAACAAGTGACACTGAACATTGTATCCATGCACCCAACAATTATGCCTGTTACAAGTGTCTAGACTCTAGGTGGGGACGGAACCAGTCCCTAAATACGCATACTGCATTCCTTCGGAACCCTCTGATCATCCATATTTAGTGTGATCAATACTATCTTACTTGCCATGTATCAAATGCGGCATTACTTTATATTAAAGAATGCCCCGTTGTATTAGAAATTCAGATGAAATATATAAAGAAGCATTGTGAAATAGGAATTTTAAAATACTATATAATAATAATAAAATATGGTGGTGCATTCCTCAATATATCTGAGCAGACTATATCCTGGACGCAATATCCTAATCTGTACATGTCCAATAAATTTATACAATTTATACAATCTGGATTGCAATAAAATCCAAATCTTCTGTAGTGAGAGGCCAACACACCTTGGTATGCAGCCAAATGGGTACAGATGCAGCTCTGAATGAAGAGGTGGAACCTTATCCAAGCTGTAGACTGTGCTCGTAGGAGTAAAAGATCAAAAGGAATGGATGGTCTGCACGTAACCCTTTACAAGATATAGCCCCCAAATCACTCAAACCAGACTGCTTATTAAACATGGGATAGTCTTAAATGGAGTGCACAGTTTTAATCTGATCGTGCCAGAATGTAGTCAGTGAAATGGCATTTCAAGTCTTTTACAAGCTTTTAACAATCTCTAGTAAAATGGAAAACACTCGATTCTTAGCATTGTTTTGAGAAATAGTTACACATTTTTTTCACTTTTAAATTTTACCTCATTTTCGGTCTTTGAAATTCTAGATAGGCCAATTTCAGGGGCTGTATCTTGTGAAGGGTTGCACAGACTATCACTTCCTTTTGACTTTTTTTTTTTGCTCCTATGAGTATGGTGTACAGGTCTGATGAGGTCCAAACTGCCTCATTCAGAGCTGCATCTGTACCATCAACTGTAACAGATCCAAAGTAATTTCAAAAACTGCAGTCTACCTATATTGTACTGTACTGTACATTACTGTATTATCATTATAAAATTTAAAGTGACAATGATTATTGAAGTATTAAAGTGTTTCGGTAAATTTTACAAATTCACAGAAATAATATCCAAATGAATTTTAATTATATATCAAATACTTTAGTTTGTATTCATAAATTAAAATAAAGAGTTTACATAAATAAATGAAATGAATGAGAAAACTTTAATATATGCATTAATCACAAAAACAATTTTAGATTTTTTACTAATATTAAATGTTATTTCTTATGGAATCTTTCTTTCTACTTTTTCCATACTCACATGTTACAGTATAATGTCGGCGTCAAAACGTTAGGAAATTTTTTCTACCAACTTATTTTCATTGGATGTATAAATTTAATCATTGTATATCCATACTTATTTTTCTCATGTAATACATGATATATACAGACCATGCTTATAAAAAATAAAATGAAATTAATTTTTGATCGAATTCTAAAAAAAACTGTCCATTTTGCATCATGGACTGAATGTCGCTAGTTGTCTTCAGCAGTGTCCAGAATGGAAGAACTGTACGCCAGGTCCCAGTAGTGTTCCACACCATGCTTTTTAAAGTGGTCCCTGGCAAAACTTTCTGTCGGACACACTTTAAATTTCATATCGCCAAAACTGCGATGTTTCACGGTTCCCTACAACAAAAATATTTTTTAAAAAAAATGCATGTAAACAGAGATCATCTTTTTAAAAAAAGACATCAAATATATTGGTTATTGTGTACTTACCTCCCAAATTAAAACGCACCTGTTTTCTATTTTCTCTCCTTTATCCGCTAGAATGTAAAAAAAAATTATTGTTAATTTAATAAATGATCCGTTAAAAAGACCATTAATAAACAGTAATTTGAAAGAATTTTTCTAACAAATACAAACTATTAAAATATTGCTTAACATATTCTAATTTTGAATTTATTTAGAATCAAGTGACAAATGAAAAGCTATAAATTATCAATGCTCGCTATGTTTATAATACAAAACAAAATTTTTAGCTATCGAATAGTTAAAAATTTAAAATAATGCTTACTACTTTTAAATATTGATAATGCAAGGATAATCAAATGAAAAGTCTACTTGTGAAGAACAGACTCAACGATGCCAGCAGAGTTTCGAGTGTTATTTGAGCTTGTTCGAAATGTTTAAAATTTAAGTGCTTCTTGTGGCACTAAGATAGGATTAACGAACATGGCTTGCTTATCAAACGTTAGTTCTCACAAATAAATTGTCATTTTTACCACCAGTTATACAGGAGGTGTGATTAATGCATTCCATAAAATGCTACATTGATTGAATCCATACTCGTATTTTATAGAAAAAAAAAATGATGATTTGTTTGAAAATAACTTTTCCTATTTAAAATATAATTAAAACACACTTGATAATAGGTCATTAAAAATTACAAGAGAATGAAATAAAAAGATAATATATATTCAGATTTAATAGCATTTTACTTTTCAACTATGCTTTAAAATGTTTCGATAATTTTTCCCTTTAATAAAATGTCTCTCCCCTTTGCCACATGAAGCTCTCAGCTGTACCAAATTACATTTTCTATACTCTAAACTTCTTCACTTGGATCATTATTCAAAATTATGCTACAAATAGGCCTTTTAAAAATATGCATGAAAAAGTTAACAGATAGATAGTAAGAGTGAACAACTGAATGCAGTGCAGTTATCCATTCTGTCTCAATCTAAACTGGTAACACTGTTGCCCAGTGGCGTAGAATAGTGGGGGCGGCCTGCCCCGGGCGGCACTTTTAGGGGACGACAAAATTTCACAATAAATAATAATAATATCTTGTAAAAATTTGAACCGTTTCATTTCATATTTTTGTCACACCTATGATTTGGACCGATTGAAATGAGCACAGAATTTTTTATTACTTATTCTGTGATGAAACTGAATTTTAGCCTTTTAAATTGAGATATCTAAATAAGGGTGTGGCGAAATTTTCCTCCGCCCCGGGCGGCTGACACCCACGCTATGCCACTGCTGCTGCCAAAAGTGTAATACGTTATTATTATTATTATAGTATTACTGGTATTATTATTTTGTTTAAAAGTTTTCATTATTAAATAACTACTTACATGAAAGTACAAATTTCTTTGTACTTTCCTAAAGGATATGCAACTTTTTATTATACAAGTAAAATAAATTTAAAATGTAAGTTAACAGTATATTTAAAATGGTAACAACAACAGCTTATGGCAAAACATTTATGCTCAGAACAAATGTTTTCAACTCACTGAGTCATTCTCAAGCTACATTAATTTAAAGAATAATTTAAAATCAAACATTACAAACAGTTGAATAGAATGTTCAAAAAGAAATGATTACAACTATCTAAACAAAGAATTCGCTTGAAATCTATGACTTAATTATAGCATATTTTACAAATGATAAGGACCCTCTCCACCAGCCCAAAATCTTGAGTATACTTGATTCTGCTTCTAATACAGATATGGGCATTGATATGCTAATAGCAGATAACAGACTGGCAGATCTTCTCTCAAAGAATGTGGGAACACAGATACAGTATTTACATTGCAAGGAAGAACACTGCCCCGAGTTTGCTGGTGATACTGGATAGTTCTGTTGTGCATTAGGGTAAAGTTATTAAAATATGAGACAATCGATCCATGTAACTATTATTGATAAATGTGAAATACAGTTTAACTTGATTTTAACGAGCATTAGAGGACTGACAAGATTTCCTCATTATAACCATTACTCATTATATCCACGAAGAGCAGCAATGTAACTAGGGGGAGTATGGGTAGTACATAACTTAGAGGTACCTTACAGGCAGCAAAATTTGTAGCTATGCCACTGATAATTAGTAAAATCTATCTTTTAATTTTTAATTCTAAATAAGTTGATTCAAGAAAAAACAAATTGTAATTACATTATAGTGTATTTTTATAAATATTTGTATAAACTATATTATAATTATTATTATACAATTTATTTTTTCATAATGTTAATACTGTCAAAGGTGACAAACAAAACTTTCTACACACTGACGTTTTTAGCACCACACCACGTTCTAACTTGCATATAATTTCTACTTTTTCGTAAACTGAGACACATTTTCTTTTCTTCATAGAAATGAACCCTTCTATGAGAAAGATGTCTAACTAGAGTAATGGTAATTTTACAAAATAAATTTTATTACGCCAATTTACCTAATCATCACTATGATTAGGTAAATTGGCATAAAGGGTCGGAAGCTAGTCAAGAAAGAGGGGGGAAATGTCTCCAAAAAAGAAAGTGATAAATGGGCTTGTAATCCATGCAGGTTGTAAAACTAATTATCCAGTGGTCATAAAACTAAGTAACTCATTTCAGTTTTATCTATTTCAAGAATTTAATATTGCATTTCTTAATACTTAAACAATGCAGAATGTTCACGTGTTTGCATAGCTATCAATAATTTGCATGGTATATCTGTTAAGTACCCTCATTATAACCATGAGAAAATTTATGGAAATATGTGTAAATTAAAATTCTTATGGTGTTTTGCTTGTTATAACTGTGAACTTGTTATATCCATGTTCGACTGTACATAGACTGAAATTAGAGAGTATCTAAATGCTAGAGATTGAGAGAATTCCCTTTAATCATCCTGGAGATTTTCCAGACAAATTTATTTCAACCTAAAAGGCCCAATTCACTGTGAAATATTATGGCAATTCTGCAAAACTATCGCTTACAAAATTGTCCTAAAAAGTATTTTCTTTACTTTATTTTCTAGTAGTCTATTATAGACTACTGCCTTCCGATATGGTCAATGGCTGCTCTGTCACTTCTTAATAAAGTTACTAATTAGATCCATAAACTATAGTTACTGTTAAATAAATTTAGTAACTTGCCATACACTTCTAATCCAGAAATACCTTGTATCAAACTAGGATTACCTGAACTAAAAGAAAGAATATAATATTTTGACCATATATTATCTGTATATATAAAAATGAATGTATGTGTGTGTGTCTCTCTGTTTGTCCCTCATGCATTACCACACCGTTTATCTGATTGCCGTGAAACTTTGGGAAGTTGTTTAATATACTCCCGCAAAGGTTTTTGGCATAGTACATTTATCCTACGATAGATGGCGTGCATGTATACAAGTGTATTGAGCACAGTGTGTTCGATCGATTTTAAATTGTGAAGATCATTTCCCCCTCCAAAAAATATCTCTATATATGCATTTGTGAACTGTTATTTACGATATTTGTAATAATATTTGTTTAATCACTTTATTTCAACTTTTTTTTGCTAATTATGTATTCGCTGGAGCTTTGTTAAAACCTTAACTGTACCCCGAACAACAACCGAAGTTGTAGGAAGAAATTCGCCTATTTTACCGATCTAGGGATCCCCCTCTTCCAAATTTTAATATTGACTCAAAACAATTTAAAAAGACAAATTACAATAAAACGGTTTATTATCCAACTATCAGAAATGTCACAACATGCCAAGGAAGAGAGGAAGGAGCAATTAAATAATTAAAATTATAAAGGATTAAAAAATATATATAAAAATGGGGAATATCGCACTTCTGACAATCGCTGCAAGTGTGTGGGCTAAATTTGGAGAATCCGTGCTTCTCGCATGGACAACTGTATGTGGTCAACTCACACGTCAAAAAACCTTCTGATTTATTCGTGTACGCACCAGACAGAAAAACAAAAAATATCGTGTATCCACAAGCACTCAAATAAATAGAATTGAAACGACACTTTGAAATGTTTTTTCCTGATGAAAATGAATAATAATAATATAATAATAATAATAAGTTTCAATAAAAATGATAAAATGTAAATTTAATTTTATCATAACGAGTTTTCTTAAATTTCGCTTCTTCTGAGATCGCAGCAATGCACAATGGGTAAGCTAGTATTTTAAATATTTTAATGGTACAGTAGAGCCTCGAAAACTTGGCACTCTGGATAACTTGGCCACACCCTGGCAGGACAAAAATACCCTTAGATAATTAATTTTCATCATAGACAGCTTTATGCCTCATAAAGTATTTTTCTGAGGTCTGTCTTATCAGGTAAATTACTGTACACAGTGTATTCATTAATTTTCATTTTCATGTAGTAAAGGCTCTATGCCTTCATAAAGGACATACTTTTCCTTTGTGTAAGGGTATTTGGGCAGTTTATTCTCTGTTGTATTCTCAAGCAAACAATACATACAAGTACAGTACAATATTTTCTGAGGAAACACGCATACTTATCCTTTTTTAACCCCATTCCCGATAACCTGGGCATTTTCACAAACTCGGCCACCCTTCGGTCCACATTAGGCCGAGTTTTCGAGGCTCTACTGTATAATACACAATTACTAGTTCAATTGACAAATACCCAATAGGTGAATGCATAATAAAACATGCCTATACACTTCTTATTATTGATTAGCCATATTTAACTATGCTCTACTAGCCTAAGCCATGTTCTGCTGGACTAAAATGAGGTGCATTACAGTAGAAATAAGATTGTATTTCTACTGTATGCATTGCATTTTAGTCCAGTAAAACATATCTTGCATTATAATTTTTCACAATATAAAAGAACTTGTAAACATATTTTACATAACTGACCAGTAAAATAGTATACTTTTAATTTTATTTATTTAATTAATTAATTAATTTATAATTANTGTGTGTCTGTCTGTCTGTCCCTCATGCATTACCACACCGTTTATCTGATTGCCGTGAAACTTTGGGAAGTTGTTTAATATACTCCCGCAAAGGTTTTTGGCATAGTACATTTATCCTACGATAGATGGCGTGCATGTATACAAGTGTATTGAGCACAGTGTGTTCGATCGATTTTAAATTGTGAAGATCATTTCCCCCTCCAAAAAATATCTCTATATATGCATTTGTGAACTGTTATTTACGATATTTGTAATAATATTTGTTTAATCACTTTATTTCAACTTTTTTTTGCTAATTATGTATTCGCTGGAGCTTTGTTAAAACCTTAACTGTACCCCGAACAACAACCGAAGTTGTAGGAAGAAATTCGCCTATTTTACCGATCTAGGGATCCCCCTCTTCCAAATTTTAATATTGACTCAAAACAATTTAAAAAGACAAATTACAATAAAACGGTTTATTATCCAACTATCAGAAATGTCACAACATGCCAAGGAAGAGAGGAAGGAGCAATTAAATAATTAAAATTATAAAGGATTAAAAAATATATATAAAAATGGGGAATATCGCACTTCTGACAATCGCTGCAAGTGTGTGGGCTAAATTTGGAGAATCCGTGCTTCTCGCATGGACAACTGTATGTGGTCAACTCACACGTCAAAAAACCTTCTGATTTATTCGTGTACGCACCAGACAGAAAAACAAAAAATATCGTGTATCCACAAGCACTCAAATAAATAGAATTGAAACGACACTTTGAAATGTTTTTTCCTGATGAAAATGAATAATAATAATATAATAATAATAATAAGTTTCAATAAAAATGATAAAATGTAAATTTAATTTTATCATAACGAGTTTTCTTAAATTTTGCTTCTTCTGAGATCGCAGCAATGCACAATGGGTAAGCTAGTATTTTAAATATTTTAATGGTACAGTAGAGCCTCGAAAACTTGGCACTCTGGATAACTTGGCCACACCCTGGCAGGACAAAAATACCCTTAGATAATTAATTTTCATCATAGACAGCTTTATGCCTCATAAAGTATTTTTCTGAGGTCTGTCTTATCAGGTAAATTACTGTACACTATGTATTCATTAATTTTCATTTTCATGTAGTAAAGGCTCTATGCCTTCATAAAGGACATACTTTTCCTTTGTGTAAGGGTATTTGGGCAGTTTATTCTCTGTTGTATTCTCAAGCAAACAATACATACAAGTACAGTACAATATTTTCTGAGGAAACACGCATACTTATCCTTTTTTAACCCCATTCCCGATAACCTGGGCATTTTCACAAACTCGGCCACCCTTCGGTCCACATTAGGCCGAGTTTTCGAGGCTCTACTGTATAATACACAATTACTAGTTCAATTGACAAATACCCAATAGGTGAATGCATAATAAAACATGCCTATACACTTCTTATTATTGATTAGCCATATTTAACTATGCTCTACTAGCCTAAGCCATGTTCTGCTGGACTAAAATGAGGTGCATTACAGTAGAAATAAGATTGTATTTCTACTGTATGCATTGCATTTTAGTCCAGTAAAACATATCTTGCATTATAATTTTTCACAATATAAAAGAACTTGTAAACATATTTTACATAACTGACCAGTAAAATAGTATACTTTTAATTTTATTTAATTAATTAATTTATTTATTTATAATTTACGAATTTTTTATGTGATACAGTAAAACCTGTCTATGGCAACCACCCACGGTTCCTTCAAAAAGTGGTCTTTTAGACAGGTAGTTGTCCAATACAGGTAGTGCTGTAATACCATATTTCCGCATGTATTTTGCATACAGATATGGCTAAAAGCCATATATATACTAAGCGAAACTCAAGGCGAGCAAAAATAAGAGAATTTTTTCAACAATAGAGCTACATTGGTAATGTATTTTATTCTTATTGAATAACTTGATTAACAGAAGTCGTCGTGATTTTATAAGACAGATTTAATACCAGTATTTTAAAGATTAATACAGTATTCGCATTTTCTCAATTAAAATGCAGTTTCTTTTTACTGAGATAATTAATTCAAGTGGTTCTCTTTGTTTGCTCCTCAGTTACATGTATTATGTCATCGATATAAAAGTGCATGGTATCTCTCCACCACTTCGGTTTCGATTTTCGTTAGTTTAATCTTATTTTTACTTTAAAAATACTGTATTTTTTAAATATTTAATATTTTCTTAAGTACAATAAAAAATTATTAATTAATAATAAAGCAATTTTATTATTTCTCCTCATAATATGATTTCATTACATCAATGACAATCGTAGAATCGAAAAACAAAGATTGTCTGTAAAACTAATTTTGTGTTAATGTGCTTATTGTTTGCATGCAAAAATTACTTGAATGTTGTTTTTCTAAAAATATTGAGAAGATAAAGTAGGTTGATACAGAAACTATTTATTGCACATATACTGTATATGAGCTTCAAAAAATAAAAAATAAAAAATAAATTTTATCAAATGATGAGATCAGCAGATTAATTGTATCGTGTACAATATTTTATACCCCTAAGGAAAATACTGTAGGTCTACAGTAAAATAAATTTCGTTTTCCCACAGTTAAACTTCACTGCTAATTGTTGTTGTGATAAACCATTTTTACTTTCTTTGATAACTTTAACCCGATCTTCTAACGACAGAACTTTTACATTTCTTCCATTTTTCGAACAATTTTGAACAAACTGAAAAGAATTTCCTTTGTTGCTAGACTAATTCATTAACACCTGCACCTAATTTCAAGAGTGGGAGAAGTGCCCGAGGTGGGTTTGACCAAGAATTTAGACTAATTCATTATATTAAGAGGGGGAAATGTTGAGATGGGTTCGAACAATAGTTTAGACCAGATATACTCATGGAAGCGGTTGCTTATTACAGTTTTTGTATGTCATTTCGAACCAAAAATCGATGCCCGTGGTCACGTTACATAGGTGGTTGTTTAATACAGATAACTTATATGAAGACTCTAATCCATGCCAGAAATTTTTGCCCATTTTGACAGGTGCTCGTCAAATGCAGGTGGTTGCCTAAGCAGTTTTTACTGTATTATATTTTAAGTATACATTATTTTCACTATATCTTATAATATAATCGAGATGGGTTGATAAAAATTTGGAACACAGTTAGGTACACCATGAGAATGCACACTAAAAAGGAATTTTTGGAAATTTCCTCCATGAAGGAGAGAGAGAAGGTTAAGGATTATCCCAAAGAACTCAGCTTTCTGCTGTACTATTTTAGATGCAGTTTTTTGTATTTTTGCGGGAAATCAAGCATATTACTACATCCATCTAAAAATTCTCTAACTAGCCTCAGAAGTGGAGGATCTAATTCTTGCACCTGGTGAAAATGGGTAAGATTGGCTATGTAACTATAAAGGTTATCTTATGTAAGGGTTTATCACACCAAATGACCAATCTAACACATTTAAAAAATTCTTTATTCTTCTACTGTACACAATTTAGAGAATTTTAAAAATGTGTTAGATTGATCACTCGGTGTGATAAACACCTACGTAAGATAATCTTCATAAATATAAATCAAATACTATAATATAATATCGTAGAAGGGTTAGAAGTATGAAATAATCTAATAATCTTAATCTTTGCTGTTGTTACTTTTTGTCCGAGCAACATTGGACTCATCTGCTAGTATTAATATAAATACATTAAATTTTAATGCTTAAAATACATTTATAATTCACATCTTATTTTTTGTTATATCTTATGCATATTAAGTAAGCTGTGATTGCATTATAGTGGATCATTCTGCATTGAATTTTGATGTACAATAGTGAATCCTGCACTAAGTGAAATTGTACTAGATAAGATAGACCTGTAAATCAATGTGAATCCTAGAAATTATTTTGTCATATTTTCAGCTTTTTCACTAGTTAATCTTTCTCTCATATTGGATGAAATTTGATAAATTTGATCATTATAAATTATCTATTATTCTTCAATAAAAATTTCCATATTAATTTACAAGTTAAATAAATATTTAAGTTTTTGTGATTAATTAATTGATTTGGCATGTATTGTACTAATTAGACTCATTTGAATAAGTGTATTCTAGAAGTATGTATTTCTGTCAAAAACATGCTAACTGAATTTTTCTAATTTTCATGTTATATCAAAATATACATTATGTTTGAATCTGAGGATAAAATATAATAATCTCAAAAAATGTAATTTTACCAAGTAATAAACTGACTCCCTAAAAATTATTAGCATTGTGTTTTATGAATGATATAAATATGGAGTCACTAAAGAACAGAGAACTTACTTCCATCTTTTGTTGAATGTTCTTCATTCCATTTTATCCTATTCATCATAAGTCGTTTAAACTTCTTTTGTTGCCTGGCTCCTAATAAAACAAATCAAATCATTATAAAAAAATTACACACACATTTTTATGTGGGATAGTTGGAAAATTAAGTTTCCTATAATCATATTTCCTAGAAACCATAGAAATGTTGGGTTGGCAATATGTTGTAGTGATAAAGCCATCATCCACCATTTGTCGTGTGATGGATGACCTTGATCTTGAAGGTGGCCCAGCATAGTGTTGCATTTAAGAGAAGAGTTGAGCAGTGTGTGCCTAGCAGGCATGGTAAACAGAGATGTGTTGAAACTGGATAAAATGAGGACTGCTATTTACTACGAATGGTCACATGGAATGTCTGGTACTGAAATTTGTAAGTGCCTGGTGGAAGCATATGGACCTTATGTCAAAGTAAATGGTGTGATGATGAAGCTAGTTGTTCTGCACCAGATGAACCAATGTAATGAACAATGTGAGCCCTGGCCAGCCATCAACAGTTGCTGCAGATGAAAACATCAAACAAGTTGATGAGCTGATTAAATGGAACAGGTGTTTCACTGTGGATGATGTTGCTAGTGAACTTGGTATTAGCCATGAGTCAGCCCATGAAATTGTCCATGACAGATAACATGCAGTATCATAATGTCTCAACACAGTGGTTGCCTCCCTGAATCACTCCTGACCACAAGCCTCAAAGAATGGACTAAGTCTGCAGCATCTCTTGTGGTAGGATAGGGAGGGAGATGATCTGTTCCAGACTGTGACTTGTGGTAAGAGCTGAGTACACCATTTCACTCCTAAGTCAAAGGCCATAACCATGGAATGGAAGAATATAACATCCCCCCAATCAAAAAGAAATTCAAGACAACCCACTCAACAGGCAAGCTGCTTTTAACTGTCTTCTGAGATGCCAAAGGGGTTCTTTTGTTGGAATTTTTGGAGAGGACCTGTCAATGCTGAATAGTACTGTCAGATACTAACATGATTGACAACTGATACGCCTGTCATACTTCTGCACTACAGTAGAATAATGCCTCTTTCTGACCACATGTTATACATCTAGAAGAAACATCCCTGCAAATGGCAGACTAGAAAAACTTACTTTTCAACTATCCCTTGTACATGCAAAACAGTCATGAAGTTTGGAAACAAATGCATGCACACACACAGAGAGAGAGAGAGAGAGACTGATTCACTGGTGATGTTCAGTACATTTTTTCTCAAACTGTTAGAGATAGGAAAATGGATTAATAACCAAGTTTATAGAACAGACAAGGCAATTTTTGGTGACCTTGAAAATCATTGGTTTTTGAGATACAGAACAAAATAGTACTTCTTAAAATTATAAGGCATTTTTGAACCATTATATGAATGATATATGTATGACAAAATAAACACTTTTTATCATAGGTCACATTTTCTTAAACTGAACAGTTTTCAAGATATTGGCCAGTTTCTTCTAAAAGTCTGATTTTTCTTTTTCCGAAAAGTTTCTATGCTGAGAACTAAGTTTATCAGTTTAGTTATCAAAAAGCTTTACACGACAGAAACATGATGATAATGAAAGTACATTTCAAAATTTATTTTAATTAGATGCTGAAAATGTCTACTCTCTTTATATACAGAAATTTAATATATTTTGTAATTCACATCTACTAATCTTACAAAAAACTTTGCTGGATTCTGATTATGTTTTTTAGAAGAATGCTGAAAGTAAACAATTTCCTTAATTTGTCCCCATGAAGACTGGCATAAAGATATGCAGCCTGTAAATAATTTTGGTGATCTGCATCTAAAGCCATCAGCATGTCTAATGCTTTTTAATTTGAATAACACATTTTCATGAAAACAAAGAAAACAGGTGACTGTACAAAAAATGAAAAAGATCATTCCAAAAAGACATTCCTTCACCTTTTAAAAAAAGTACTAACCCAATTTATTTATAGCCTGCTTGTTCAAATATTTGATATGACAAGATAAAGAACAAAATCCGATCATACATCAACAAAAGGTGACACGAAAATTTCGTGTGTCGGATTACTGAATGCATCAGATTGGCAAGTACAGATTCTAATGTGTATGTGTATATATATATGGTTTATTGATAGCATCACAATATATGAACAATGAATTGTTTTTCATTGGCAACATACTGTGCAAAACTACAATTACAAAATTTTCATTGTAATTTTGCACAGCACGTTGAACTATTCACTATGTTAATGATAATGAGTAAATTATTATTATTAATGCTACAAGATTTTATCACCACACTATATATAATATTCAAATAAAAATTATTCTTACCTCCTTCTACTACAACAACATTAACATTTCTGTATAACACAACACATCCTGACATGTATAATTGTTTAGCATTGATTTCTACTTTAAATTTCTTTGCTGGATTTGTCAAATTATATACTCTAAAAAAAAAAAATTACTTCTTAAAATTCCAAAAAAATATATATACACAATAAAATTTATTGTAAAACAATGTACCTGTAAACAGTAACATGTACTCCTAAACTTGTATCTTCTTTTAGTTTCTTAATTTTTTTCTCTCTTCGCTGTTCAACAGTTAACTTTCGGGCTGCGTTGGCAGCCTCGTGAGCTCTATAAAATATAGCTTTATCATTATATATGTTTTAAAAATAAAATTATTTTAAATCTTTACTTACTTTTGTCTTTTAGCCATCTGTTCTCTAACATGCGCTTCAATTTTTGTTGGATCTTGAACAGCTTGAGTGCCCAAAGCTCTCATCAAGTTAGAAACACGAACTGAAATATACAAATAAAACTTTTAGAATAATAAACACAATATCAAATATTCTAAAAGTTTGAATTATTGAAATTTTAGAATGACCATTGTGGCTGTCAACATGTATTTTTTTAATCACTTTCAATCATTATCAGCCATTTTTTACCCTGAAAATTTAAATCTAATATCAAAATCATGTTATTCTATAGGAAATATAGAACAACATGATTGTATTCATGCTTATCCTGTAGTTGAGAAAGCAGTACTTAATTTTAAGCTAGCAAGTTCCAATAAAGCAGTTTGAATTAATTTTCAACAAATAGATAAAAATAAAACTATATTAGAAGAAGCACAGAAAACAATTGACATTGTACAGAGAAATAAAGAGAATGACAAATGAAAAATTTCCAAAAATTGCCATGGAGACAAAGCTTAAGGAAAGAAGAAAAGAAAGATTAAGATCATTAAGATACATCATACAATGATCATTAAGATCATTGTATGATGATGCAGAGAGAATAAAAGATAAGAGAAGGTGTTTTTCTGTTAAGACTGGTGTCATGATGGGAAAAGATGGAAAGAATCCCTGGCAATAACAAGGCATTGCCAGATACCACAGAGAGAGAGAGAAATTGTGAAAACCTGGACTACGCAAATTTTTAAAATTAAAATTCACCCAATTTAAATTTTTTGAATTTATGAATTTTATTTCACAAAACTACAACAGAAAAGATTCCATACCATCCAGGAACTTCAGAATTTTTTCCCATGGACTGTACTTCCTCCATGAGTGACAGCTTCCAAATAAATATTCATTGGAGAAATAGAGACAAATCACAGATTGGAGCAACAGACAACTTCATCAAAAATAGGTGATGAATTGCCAGAGAAAGGACCCCCGAAATAAAAAGGTAAAGGACATCCACTGCTGATCCCTTCGACTGGCACTGTTCCCAGGACCTTAGCTGCCTTTACCAAATGAAAAATCGATTGAGAACTATACCATCAAGGAGTCCAAATCTACCCAAACCAGCGGAAACCTCTCCATCCCTTTGTGAAGACGATTCATGACATCAAGACTTTGACCAAGCCAATTTTACTGATCCAGATATTTACTGACATGCGTACGAATTTGTAAACTCTCTCTCTCTCCTACATGATTATAACTAACTCTTCCATTTAAGTCACTCTTTGTCACTCTTGTAAAGTCTCTTTGTTAAATAAATTGTTAATTATTATTAAATACATAGTATACTTAATAAAAATATATTTAAATTTAAATTTAATAAAAAACAGTATTCTTCTTCCTATTAATAATATCAGTGTTTAACTAAAATAAAGAAAAACACTGCTATTTCAGGTTACCAATAAGTTATTATTGGAATGTTTTCAATCTAATTTCATGTTTTCTTTGGCAGTTCAATTCTACCAGCATTCTACTTAATAATAAACATGGTAACCTTAAATATAGCAGTGCTTTCTCCCTCTACTGAAAATGATACTGTCAAGATTTACAGATTTTACTATTGGAGTTTGTAATGGCTATATTCAAAAATTTATTATAAAACCTTAAATCAAAAAATTCTTCAAAATATCTGATTTTTGGCAGTTATACAGGGTGGGGCAGAAAGGATGGACATTTTTGAAATGGCTAGAACTCACTACCAGGTGAAGTGACAGATGTGTGGCAGGTAGTGTGACAGTAGTGAGGTCTTAGCATTGTCTTTTCAGTTGAAGGCATGGAACCATGGACAATAGATCACCGTGTGTTTGCATATGACTGAGGAAGCAGTCGTATGCAAAGAGAATCACTCAGTCATACACATCTGATGGGAATAAGTTTCCTCATCATTGAATATGATGGAAACGTATTCCCATCAGACATGTGTTGTTTCAACAGGATGGGGTGACAGCCCACACAGCTAGAGCATCAGTTGATGTTATTCATCGTCTCTTCCCTGGTTGCCTCATATCCAGATTAGGTGACATTCATTGGCCTCCTCATTCAACTAAATCCATGTGCGACTATTTCTTGTGGGGACACCTCAAGGCACACATATATGAGCATAAGCACGTTCTTTGCAAGAACTGAAGGAAGTTATTCGCGTGGAAGTCACCAAAATTTCCTAAAGAAATGCATCACTGATAATGGACACAGCATGGGAGATGTTTATCACACTTGATTCTGTAAAATGCTATTTAAATACAAACTCACATCTTCCACTTTTATGTATCTTCTACATACTCAGAACACACTTTTGAAGCTGTAGTGCTCTCAGTATATTTAGCAATATGGAGAGCAGTAATAGAAGTGCCTTTTATTTTGGTCAGGATATTTTTAATATTACTTCATATTTTTGAGTAGAAGAGTAGTTCTCAATCTGTGGAGCATGTTTCTATAGTGAAAAGGAAGACTTTTTTTTTTTTTTTTTTAGCAAAGTGCAAAGAAATGAGCATTATTATTTCAAATCTTGATTCTGAAATATCATCTTTTATTTTCTAAACACACTGGATTACATCTAGTGTGTTTCAAAACTGAAGTAATTCTATTTTCACATATGGGATGTCCTATCCATGGGAGGTAATGATCCTTTATAATGGCAGAACCTTTCTACTTACACTATTAATTGAAATATATTCTGTATTTCACAAATACAAACTCCTCTATCAGTTTTTCTATTCAAAGACTGAAGAGAGGTTTTATTTAGAGTAGTATGCTTTTACAAAAAGCGTAGGTAGTGTAAGAATGTTAAAAAAAACTGTTTCTTTTAAAGTTTGAGAACCACTGTTATAAAGAAAGATTAATCCCATTTATATAAAAAATTTTGTGTATGTTCTTGTCTAATATTTAAAGTATTCATAGATACTTGAATTATTTTAATAATATGCATCTTTTTGTTTCTTTAACAAGTTTATAGGATATAAAAAAAAATTTTTATTTTATAATTATAAATTTTAGTACAATCTAACTAATTAGTATAATCTAACTAATCTGAAATTATTATTGTTGAGGATTGTTTGGATTAATGAAATATTCAGATGTAAGAGTTATGCATAAAGAAAATGAAGAGCTACAAACAAATTTTTTACTTTTATTTGGTACATGTAAATTAATGTTAAAATGTGTAGTATATATTAATTTTAGAATTTTGTCATGTTTTTAAAAAATAATCTGCAATTTCTTTTTGTTTCTGATTTGAACATTCAGCAACAAACAAAACTGGTTTAAATTAAGCAGAATTTAGATTGCCAAAAATACAGTCATATTTTCCAACATCATTTATTCTAAACACATACACATTAAATCAATCATGTAATTACTTATTAATTGTTTTATATTTCATCTCTCTATTAAAGATAGAAAAATTTTATCAATGAATTTTGAACATTCATGCAATCATTCTTATATAATACAAAGGAATTGATAAAACAGGATATCATTTGGTTATCCTCAATCATAAAAGATGGTGTTGTAGGGCCATCATTCAACTGATACTTGAAATACAGTAGAGCATCGATTATCCGACTAAATTGGGGACTGGGGTCGGTCGGATAACTGAAAAAAACGGATAATCAAAAAATATGAAAAAATACATTATTAGTATAGTATATCAGTATATCCCATGTAATTAGTATATCGCTATTAACCAACTTTGCGTTGAATTTTCATCGATGGTAAGCCTAACAAAAATTTTTTTAAAATAATAATCGTCGCTATTGTATCGTTAAAAATTATTTTTAAATTATTTTATTGCTCACAAAACAAACCACCACTCGTAATTAGAAAATTAAGTCTCGTTTAAATACTGGCCTCCCTTTCATGGTTGAGCCAGTGTTGCCAGCTAAAACAATCAAAAATTTAACAAAAATAATATTAAAGTAGCCAAGACATAGCCAAATATTGTAGCGCCACATCACTAGCAGACATTTGAATTTGTCGACTAGAACGCGGTCGGTTAACCGAGGTGACGGTTAATCGGGGGTCAGATAATCGATGCTCTACTGTATATGTAATTACATTGTTAAGTTGACATTTATTCATTACGCAAAGTGTATATGATGCATGAATAGTGTCAAGTTTTAATTTTGAATGTTTTTTTCCCCTAAAATATTAGTTACAAATAATTATAGTGAAAAATAACTGATTTATTTTAATCCAATTAATAAGTATTGTGATTCACCCATTCAAACAATTCAACTAATGGAGAGTGATAAATATAATTTATTTAAAAAATAATTTATGTAACATGTTATATAAATAGTCAATCATAATTACTCATATTACAATCAAACTAGATGTTTAATGGGTTCTAGTTAGTAATTATTTTTGTTTGTTTTTTTATTAACAAAATAATAAATCATGTTATTTATGTATAAATTTCATAAAAAAAAGGAAAAAACAAAAGAACGTTTTAAAAATTCTCTCTTAATTTTTACCTTTAGGTTCAGGAGGTGGTTCTAATCCCAATCTAATTTTTTCTTGTTTCTCTTTCCAAGTCTCTCTTCTATTTTGTCTTCTCAACTTCTTCCTTTCTTTCTTTGTTAAGTAGACGGGAAGAAACGACGGTTTTAAAGGATCAGCTAGAAGAAATCAAAAAGATAACGACCTCAATTTATTAAAACAATTACAAAAATGGTTAATTACTTTGTCTTCATTTTTACTCTAGTGAATTATAACTGATTATTACTAAGAGTTTTTAAAAATGTATATAGCCACTCTCCAACTTAAGCATATTTGACCTTTTCAGTTGTATTTAAAGTTTGGTCAACATAAATTATCTGGTTTTTTACTTTTTGGAAGAAGTATTCCAACACTATTCATTTATTAGTGTATAAATCTATTAATTTACTTTTTTAAAGCATATGAACATGATTAAACCAATAATTTTAATTAAATTAGTTGTTTAGATGAAAATTTTGCTTGTCTTTTACAGTTTTGTCTACCACTATGTATTTATATACACATACACACACACACAACCTATTATACACACCATATATATAGTGTGTATGTGTGGCATAGAGGAAGTTCTACACCACTTGCCACAGTCCCATCTGTAATTTGCATCAAGTGATTTTTTTATTTGACCTGTTCCAATAACTTTTCTATTAAATAATTAATTATAAAAGCTGTAAAAAATAGACAAACATACTTGGAGCTTTCATTTGTGTTGGATGTTCCACCAAACTGGTTACACCTTCAAAGTGTTCTTCTTCTAATTCACTACCTGTTGTAACTTTGTCATAACTGAAATAATCAAAATACTCCATCCAATAAATTAGGTTTTGAACAAATTTAATTAAAATACTAATTAAAACAACCAGTATAAAAGTCAATCAAAGTTTTCTCAAAAATTCTAATGTTTTAAATCCGAGAATTTTGTACAAATAATTTCTATAATTATCCAAAACTCTTAACATTTCATACTTTAAAATAGAAAGTGATAACTTTTATACAGCTTGTAAAATTACAGAGACATTCAATATAAAAAAATAAATTCCAAAAAAATAATTTGCAAAACTAGATACTCAAGTCTTGCATGAAATGTTTTAATTTCTTGAAAATTATAATCAAATTAATGATAAATATCTGTTCGTTTATTTGAATTTTCATCTGTAATTTATATTTATTAGCCTAATAATTAAAAATAAATTTGTTTAAAAACACATTGACAAAAAAAAAAAACTGTTATTTAAGAAGTCGACCCTTATTTTATCAAAATGTTTTTGGGATATCAAATTTTTAATGAAACATTGTGAAGATCACCAAAAATAAGGTCTTTACCTTCCCGTCTTTGGCAATCTACACCAAATATCTTTGTTATTTCAAACAATATAAGCAACTGAAGAATAGAAGTTAAGGCTTTCTAAAAATGTTTTGACAAAATAAGAGAGTTGGCTCCTTAAATAATGGTTTGTTCTTTAGTATGAATAATAAAGAGTTCTTCTTTCATTGTTTAGTAAATTTGTTTACTTCTCTAAACAGGTTTTTCTTGTAAAGGGTAATAGGAAAAAAACTACATTACAATTTGAATAATACAGATAAAAATTTAAATTTTTTGACATATACATATTAAAATTGCAATCATGAAGACTGTAATCAGTATCAAAGTTATGCAATAAAATTATAAAAACACATAGATGTCTACTTGATTTCAATTAAATTAACTAGTCCATTTAGAAGTTATTGAAAAGATAATTTTATCTAAACTATGTATAAAGCAAATATCAATTTAATTCTAAGTCGACTGCCGGGCGTGTCTGACGTCGGTTTGCCTCGGAGGGGGTGCCTGAAGCACACCGTATCTTACCTCTCCCCTTTCATGATGAACGAGTCCCACCATTCAATCTCGGGAACTTCCCCCTCTTTCTATATAAAGAAGGGTATAATACAAGTTAATGTCAGCTCTTTTATAATGTTATAAAATTAATTTAAAATTATGCTTGTGACAGGGCTGTGAGTAAAATGAGGTAGCCAAGTATTTGTTATATAGCAGAGATTTTTAATTTTTGATATTTTAAAAATCTCATTAGAAAAAGAAAAAATTCCGCAAGTTAAGGTTAATTATCAGAAAAAAGTTTATCAATGTCTCCCGAGATAGCAATCTAGGTTAAGTTTTTGATGATATCATTGCAAATTAAATAAAGATTTTATAAAATATATACCATCAAATTATATGAAATATTTAAATTAAATCTTTAATTAAAATATACAGTAATTACATTTAAGCATATACTGTATGATCTTCATCTATAATTAACTGTAAATTAAACATAAAATTTTAATTTAATAAAATGTATCATATAGTTAACATGCAACAAACCTTATATACTTTTACAGCAGAATAATACTTTTTAATACACAGCAGTAAACATTTTTGGCCTCATTTGGTGGCATGCATTGGGCTTACACAGTAGAAACAAAATTCAAGCCAAGAATTCCAAATATAGAATGTTTTTAAGATTTACTTTTAATTGCATTATAGGTGAATATGTATAATTTCAAAAATCCTGTAATCATTTAAATGCAGGGACATAAAAGAACAACCTTAAGAACATTTTGAATTCGGGATTCTTGGCTTGCATTTTATGTTTCTTCTGTGTACGTCTGATGCAAATCTCAAAATGAGACTGAAAACATTTGCTACCTATTATAAAGGTAAGATAAAAAAAAAAAAGTGTTTTCAAGCAAAAATCGAGTTGTGATTGTTCAGTTGTTTTTGATGAATCAAAAGAAAAACAAAAAGTTGCAGAAAGGTGCAATTATGTTAGTTGCTAAACAATTTGAATGTAACAGAATGACCATATCAAGAATTTGGATAATATGTTTCTGTTACTTCAACAAGTTATGCTGGAAGCAATGAAAAATGATGCCTCTAATAATTTTAAGCTCACTCATATATGGAAAGCAAAGCTTTGAAGCCAAGAGATCCTACCTATAACTTTAAAATGCAGTAATGAAATTATTGAAACATCCAGAAACTATCTGAACACTCAAAATGAAAATGAGGAATAATATTTTTAATTCATTGTTTAATTTAATTTTTTGATAATAAATGTTGCATTCTATATTTATTTATTTTTTGCTATTATTATTATGGGATAAAATTTTTTTGCTATTATTATTATGGGATTAAATTCATTAACTGCTACTATTATTATGGGACAGAGGGCATAATTATTTGTAAGCAAAAAAAAAATGAATCACAACTACCTAATAATGACTTGTTACAGTCTTGAATTTAACACAATCTTTTGAATTTATGTATGTTAAAATATCCTTAAATTCAAATTCAAAAGATATACAACTTGGAGAATGCCAATTCAGAAATCAAAATTTTAAGAGTTGTATATAAATGGCACTTATTCAAGTTACATATACAAAAACATTGCATATACTCACTAAAAATACAGCAAAACAGTCTTTATAAGTACCCTATAGATGAAAAGCAGTTAAAAAGCAATTGTATTCTACAACTGTGTCACATTTATGCAAACCATTTAATATACTTTGATTTTTTTTAAACTATTTAGCATGCAATCTATAAAATCCCTATATCATAAATATACATATAACTAAAGAATTACCAGATTTTATGGACTAATTCTGGTAAAAAGAAATTAACAAGACACCTTTCTTCAAGATTACCTGAATAAATTAAAATTATTAATAGATAAAGACTATACCTGGATTAAGATGAAACATAAGCAATAACTTCTGTTCAACAGTACCAAAATGCAATTAAAATCTGACAGACTTTTGATTTCATATTAGATAAATTGGACCGACATATGCTGTTAAGTAAATGATTACACATTCTAAGGAACACAAGTTAAGGTTAAATGACTGTCGACAGAGAATCTACGTATTCCATACTGTTACCGACTTATTGTAGACAATTTAGAGATACACATTTAAATAAAATAACCAGAAATATATCCAACCAAAGTGTGTAGGTGTTGCTCCAAGAAGATTTTGTTCTTGGCATTTCTAAATTAGTTAGTGCTGGATTATTAAAATTATTAACGAGATGGCAATTTTGCCTATCTTAATAAATTTGAATCATTAATTTTCATTTAACAAAAGCATGACACTATAAAAATCTGGCAATATTTCTGATGACAAATTGATATTTATTGGTATTAAATAGATTTCAATTTTAAAAACTTCAATAAAATATAATTAATTTAAGAAAATTATGCTGATATTTAACCTACAAGATAGTTCGACCACAAAACGAGAAACAAATGAAAATATATACTTAGCCAATTCTATGAACCACACTATGTATCAATATTGTTTGGCATAATTAATGTAAATTAGTATCAATTTTCTATTGTTAATAATTTAAAAATGTGGAATTTACTTTTCCATACTGACATTACTAAACCTTTTTTTAAATAACTTCAGTGCAATCAATTATAACAAAAAATATCAATTTTAACTTTGATTCTAAATACTTAAACATTTATTTCTTATCGACATTGTCAATAAACACCAAGAAATACATATTACAAATATAAGACTACACAATAACATAATGCACCAATATAATAGAATTAATAGTGATTTGACATAGGGTTCCTTTTATTAAATTGTATTAAGGTGATACAATTCATATAGATTTTATAGGATAACTTTTTCCATCATTATTAATTATTACAAACTTTTCACAGCATCATTGCTACAAAGTTATCTGTGGTAATTATAGTTTTGTACAATCAAAGCAGTTTAATTTACCAAAGAATTTCGATAACCCGTACTCACGTAAGAATTAATAATACTTTTCCTTAAAATATCATGCATAGTTGCTAAAAATTAATAAACATTTTTGCTTTTGCTATCCAAAATGTCTTTGGATCACAATATGTAGATCAAATTACAGATACTGTAAATATTTAATTATTTGAATATTTATTTGAAATTTTGATCCAAATTCCAAATGTGCTTTAAATAATAGAAGCAAAAGTACTTGAGAATCAAAAATAGAACTTCCGAAAAACAGAGAAAGAAGTTTAACAATGTCGCAAGTCAAATGCGGAGACGTCCCGACTCGACCGTGCCCACTTGCACTGCCAGCCACAGCTTGAGGCATCGCTGACTCTGATTTGCAGCATTGCCAAATTCCCCATGCGAGTTTTATTTTTGTTTGATTGTCCGGTACCTATTAATGGAAGAAACTCACATATTTTACAATAACTATGTAAATTGCTTTATTTATTATAGTCAACAAGCAATGAGATGATACATACATACATACTGTACATACTATCTTCAATAAAGCAGTTTACATAGACACAACTTGATAATTTTTAGTTTATATGATTTTACAAAAAGAGTATTGTCAATATTTGAGTGAGCACAAGTTACTGTAATCATAAATTATAATATAATTTTAATTTTATTACTAATAATTAACATTTAAAAGTACTTAATAAATTATCATTACTATAGATAATTCTATGACTATAGTTTGTAGCTTAATAATTGTTTTCTACTTGAAATGAACATTTCAAAATTTAAAGCAATAAAATCATCAAAAACTTTTTNTTTTTTTTTTTTTTTTTTTAATGTAAGTGAATCATAATTGAAAAATTATAAAATTATATTGAATGTGGCATTGATAAAATTTACTCAATAATAATAGTGATAGATGACATATCTGCCAATATACCGATTTTGCCGATGATTCATATACAAATTCAAAGATTGACAAAATTATATAAGTTAGTTGCAGCAACAGGAAATTAAAGTTTATATGTCAGATTTAAGACAATGGAGCAAATAATTATAAATCTCATCTTTTAAGTGAAAAATGCCAATACTTTTATTTATTGAAAATAGAACTTCAAATTTTTTAACTCTATTTGTGCTTATTCCAACAATATCAATTAATTTATATGTTGACGTACCAACACATTTGAGCAGAACTGGTCTGTACATAACGGTGTTGGCCAGCATAGACGAGGAATGGAAAATAATGCTCTACGTCAGTGCTACTTAAACTGTGGACTGGAGCAAGATTTTTCTTAAATTTTTGTAATTTTATATATTATTTTAATGTAACTACCTACAAAATCAGCCTGCAAACCTTTTTTTTTTTTTTTGACTAGATTAAACTGTATTTTTCATACTAATTTGGTCTAAAAATTAAAATGGGGAGAAAAAAACAAAGGCACTTAAATTCCATTCATAATTATTTTTAACTTAACAAAACTACTGGCCTACAAGGGATAGGAATGATAAAAACTGGTCTGCGAACATGAAGTTTGAGAAGCACTGTCTATATTATTTGTGATAAATCGTATGGATCTTAATTGGATTTGAACCTGATCCTGATAAGGCATTAGTCTGTACAAAATGCAATACTTAAGTGCCTTATTCTTTACTGGTCATCTCTATGGCAGCGGTTCTTGGAATTATATTGCCTATGAACCACTTATGCCATCTTCTCATCCGTGACACAATGCATGTGATAAATTTTGTTCACTCAGTAGTCTAATGTCACCCACAACTTCATTCCTGACATAAAAGAATTCATCGGACTGAAATGGTACTCCCCCAGCCATCAGTTAACCCAGATGCTCACCAACCATGGTAGGTTCTTCGCCTACCTGGCGAGGTTTAAAGGTACTACCAACACATTGTGCTCGATATGTAACACCATGGACGGAAGTATTCATTACATCCTACACTGTCCATGGACGGAAGTATTCATTACATCCTACACTGTCCTGAGAGACTACAACTAAGGATCCTCACTGAAGCCCATAACATCAACTGGCCTCCTCCAAATCTGGGATGCCTTATCAAACATGAAGATACCTACCGTGCACTCATCCAGCTCGCTGATATGTATTTTAAAAGGACATCCGTGCCAGCATTCAACTGACCGTCTGCTGTGTCAGCATCTGCCAATTACAATCTGTTAATCGGTAAGCTGTATCACGTATTATGTACTCGGCAACTGTTGTATCTCTTCACAGCAAATCTGTACTTGTATAACGTGCATTGTTTTAAATACTAATGTATCTGTAATTAATTTATTCACTCTAGCATATGACACCTTGATGTATTGTAGTGTTGGTACTTTGGTTTTATGCACTTCATTTCTTCACATTGTATCACATATTTTATTATTTGTGCATTAGTAATCCTGCAATCAATTAATTGTATATTTTATAACACACATACTAACTCATGTACCTATTCCAGCTATGCTGGCATCTGTTCAATGCACTTTGTATATTTCTATTATTCATATTGTGTATCCTATGTTCTGCATTTTTATTTCTTCACAGCAACTCTGTATTGTATAACATAGCCTGTATTCAAAAGTTTAA